TGATGTATGGTTCAAATTGGACTGAAACAACCATACCAACAAGCACTACATCGTAATCGCTGGTCGACAACGTGAAGGGCACGTTTGCGAAAGTCGCAGACACGAAGGCGTTGCTGGACTATGTCTTAGCACCTTCAGGCAAGACGCGTCGGAAGTTAGCACGACACTTACGCGCGCGTGGACACCGCTATCATGTGCACAAAGGTCTGCTGCTTAACAGCGTAATGGATGACGATGCGATTATCACTCTGCGTCCGTCTCCTTGCCGCTCCACACTGCAGACTCGCACCTTGCGTGTCTCCACACGGCACACAATCATCCACAAAGGCGAACCTCTCCTCAAAGATCGCCGAACAATGGATATCTTTCACCGTCTTCTCCTGGGTTCAGCGATGTTTCGCCATTTGCACGTCTTTCACGATCTTCTGGTAATCTTCAGCCGCCACACCAAATCTACAACGTTCACTCTCATAGAACCCGCCCTGACACGCCCTCATATTACACGTCTTCTCCATCTCCGGGGTTTTCCACGACACAGGCGGCTTGAAAATGCTCGTCGTACTCCGTGACAAACCCCATCGTGCATCTGCCTCTGCTCGTTCACCGCCTTCTGATCCTCGCTCTCGTACTGAGCGTAGCTGGTACTCCAATACGTACTGTCCTGCACGATTTCGACGTCTTTTCGTCGTCTAAGTTCCACAAATCAGAGCGTCCTCTCCGAACAACTTCATTGCGTTTGCCACTGGCATCACGTCGTTTGCCGCTTCGTACCGCTGTTGTCGTGTTGACAGGAACAGTCGTTGCTTTAGTAGTCTCTCCTGTCGTCGCGTCATGCCGTCATCCTCGACCACTCTCCTCAACATCGTCATAGCATAGTGATAATGCATTAGACATGGCACATGAGCTATTAAAATCTTTCTTATTGGTCTAATCTTCTTTTTCCATTCAGAAGTTGTCGTAACCTGCAGACTTATATTCACGGGTCCAAACCGCGAATGTACAAGATTCAATGCCTTCGACCCTTTCTGGTGGCCTACACACCCACATTCGGTCACCAGGTTTAAACCTGCGCTTGGTTATTACCTGTCTACAGTAAATTCGCGCTTGCCATCGTTGCTCACGCTTTCGGACTCGTTCTGCACACTCATGAGCTGATTTCATTCCTGTGAGTAGTTGTGTGTAATAGCTCTCCGGCTTCCGACACACTAGTGATTTGTAGGGGCTCTTTCGGTGTTCGCAACGTTTGTCCCATCATCAGTTCATTGGGTGATGGTAGCTGTAGACTGCCCACCTGAGTTGTAAGCATAAATAGCAAAATCTATCCATTTATCCAAATGTTGTTGTTCTTCGGTATGCATGTACACTGACACACGGTCCTTCCAGGCGTGATGAAACGCTCAACTAATTCAACTAACTGCGGTCTGTGAGGGACCGGATTAATCTGCTCGGCATGCAACATTGTCACTAACTGCTCGATCGCTTTTCTTGTCACTTCAGACGCACCGGCCGTCGGAAGTTCTCAAAATGGGTCAAATATCAACACCACGTACTTCATTAGAAACACTGTTGCGTTCTCGGCAGTGCGCTACTGCACCGAAATTGTCACATTGTACCTAGTTACGTGCTCGACCGCTGCAATCAAGTATAGCTGCCATCCATCACTTATTGGTAAGGGTCCTTCAACGCAGTCAAGAGCTCGCCTATTTCCAATATCTCTACCTCGTATACTTCGAAGAGGCAGAGTCATTTCCCGTAGTCGAGCCTTGACGCAACCACACTCTTTGCAACCTAGCACTCAGCGTTGCACTTATTTCTGTAGTCCAGGCCACCAAACAATTTGCGAAAGGCTTGAGTAGGTATGGGGGGCTCTCAGATAGCCCCGCCCACACAGAATGATGGCTCTCTTTGAGCGCCGTAGACCACACTTCAGGTGGAAGTATCACTTGCAGGGAACCCGAAAAATACATTTCTTGAAGATATATTTATATTTTTCCTGTAAATTATTTATTTAGGGTACGTCTGAAAACCTGTTACGTATCTAGCGTAATATTAAGTAGCCGCACACTATTTATTTTCTAGGGCCACGACAACCAACAGGTTTGCTGGTTGGAGTTGAGCCTCTCAGCAACTTGACAAAACCTTTCATCGCTCATTCTGCAATTCGCGAACAACCCTTCCAAGCTACCTCATCAACCACGATGTCTGACGCTCTCGTCACTACCCTACGCTCGACAACTAAGCTCTCGCCAAAGCAAATCCTGGCACTCTATTTCAAGCCCTTCCTCACGAAGGAAGGGGATCCTACTGGCATGCAGATCTGCAAAGCTTGCGGCACGACGAGAAAGAATGCCCCCAAAACGGGGTACACCAACCTGGTGTCCCACGTCCGGTCCGAGCACTGCCGCTTCGAGGCCGAGATGGAAGCCTCCAGCACCGCAGCGACCGAGACTCTGCTTCCGTGGGTGCGCCAAAAGGCGTACAATCGTCATGCGTGGCTTCTGTGGCTCGTCGGTGGAAGCCTACCGTTCTCCTTCGTCGAGATGGAGACGACAAGAAGATAACAATGTCTACTCTTCATAATTTCTTAATTTCTTTTTACTAAGTGCTATTTTGTGTTAGGTACACCAACTTGCCGCCTGTGTGCGAGGAGACCATCACTCACGACATGGAGAATGTTACTAAAGCGGTAGAGCGACGTATGGGTGACGAACTCCCCCAAAAATTCGGCATCGTCCTCGACGGATGGACGCGTGGCAGCGAGCACTACCTCGCAGTGTTTGTGTGCTACGAGCTCATTGGTGTCCGCCAAGCTCCACTGCTATCGATGGCTCCGATCATCAACGGCCCGAATGACAGCCTCAACCCGGAAAGCCATATGGCTGCAGTCTCGGCGGGGGGACCTTCTTTCGGTAAAACCCTCTCAAACGTGATTTTCTCGTAGGCGATAACTATGCGGTAAACAAGCGCCTCGCTCGTCTATTGGGGTTACCGTTGGTCGGGTGTGCGAGCCATCGGCTTAACCTGGCCGTGAAAAGTTTTATCGCTCCCCACGAGGAAGAATTGGAGCAAGTGCAGTACTTAATGAAGCGACTGCGTACAATCACCCAAGCTGCAAAACTTCGGTACGAAATTTTTTATTTCGCTTAAAATTGGTATTGAAAATATTTCCTAATACTGATCGTCAAATTTGATTTGTGATTTTTTGTAGATTGAAGACCCCCTTCATCCCAAATTGCGCCAAGCCACTCGCTGGGGATCAATCTACACGATGCTTCCGCGCTACTTTAAACTTCGCGAGTTCTTCAGTGCTGACGATGAAGAGCTGGCCGTGGAGATGCCGTCCCTGGCTGTAAACCGCAAGCTCAAAACGTTGCTCGAGCAACTAGGTGACGTGCAATCCGTGTCGATGAAGCTGCCGTCCGAGGATTTGAGCCTGCTGGACGCACGGGACTTGCTAAACGGCCTGTTGGAGGTCATGCCGTCGTTCGTTAACTACATGGGTACGCTTACATTTTGTTCTGCGATGTGTTGTCACTCTATGATTACTTTTTTTTTTAATTATGTTTGTAAACCCAAAAGCTGAAGTTGTGCACTCACCCGACTTTGAGTCCGGGTGTCGTTAAGAAGCTAGGTGGTCAAGTCAACTGGCTGAACCGGGTTGAAAAGTCCTCTCTCCTACCTTTTGTTCGCCGAGCTCCCCCACCAGCTCGCGTAGAGGACACGACCAAGGTCGGCCTCGCGGAGCGAATCCTCAAGCGCCGCTAGGTGAACGACGCACCAAGTGCATATATCCTGCTGGAAGCAATCCCGCCAACATCAAATGTGGTGGAGCGGTTGTTTAGCGCGGCACGCCAGGTGCTGCGCTACGAGCGCAACAGGCTTTCGCCTGGAACAGATCTTATTTCTGAAGGTCAACCAGAAGTACTGGGACCTCACTACTGTTGATGCATGCATTTGAGTAGAGATGGATGAAAGTTGCACTAATAAACTACTGTTTTGATGTGCATCTTACAAATATTTATTTTCCTTGATGACATTTACCCCAACACTACCTATTGACAAGTTTCTTAGAAATAGATATAAATGATATTGCCGGGTTCCCTGATCACTTGTTGCCTCTTGGTGTCTCCACCAACACTAATTCGTACTCCATCACAATTCGCATGCCTCGGTCCTCGCCAGCTTCTCGTACTTGCCGCACTAACTTACTACGTCTTTGTGCCACCGTAATCTACACGTCGGTCAACGGTAAGGTAGGTCCATCGTCGCTACACTCTCGTCGTTCTTGACGTACATGTCGTCCTTGCATATTTTTGCCTCGTGGAGCATCAGGTCGCCCTTCAATCCCGTCTTGCACTTGCGGTCGCTCCACTCATAACTGCTCTGATTTTCGCGTCGTTCTGTCCGGCGCCTTCTCCAGTCTCGAACTCGAAGACTTTACTGTGGTTTCGCTTAGCGCGTTGCTCGAAGCACCCAATGCTTCCCTTGCCCTTCGTTCTCCTGTTTTGCATAGTCCGCTCTTACCGTCGTCCTCGTTGCTTCTTGCTTCCGTCGTTCATCGTCTTGGATGCTTCGTACTCATCCACCGATGGCACCCACTCGACACGTCGCCACTTCGTCCACGCTGTATTGACTTCGTCGTCGTAATTGGCGTTGGCGACGCCTTGGCGACTGCTTGGCAACACTTCACGCGTCGTTGCCATCAAACCGTCGACGCTTGGAGACTCGACCACTTCACTCGGGGGGCCTTAGTGCTTCGTCCGGTTCGTTGCTTGGCGTCGCAGTCTCCTTCGTCACCTCCTCTGCATCATTAAAATTCCTTGGCATCCTAGCAAAGCCTGGTGGAGGTGCCTCGCTCAGTGATAAGGTAATGAATTGGCAGTGATTGCTGTGTTTGTTCTTGCTTCTTGTAACACGTTCAGTTTAAGAAAACTTAAACACTGTGATAGGGAAGCTGGCACTTCCTAACGTGTTGGTCGCCGAGTAGATTTAAAAGTGAGGAAAGCTTTGGCAAGTGCTTTCCTCATGCCTACAGTCTTCTACACATTACTCATTCTATAGATTCTTCTCTTCTACGTATTCTACGGACGGTTGTCTAACTCCTGATCGCTCACGGACTCCATGAGCTACTTACGCTAGCTAGGCTAATACACTTGAAGAGCCTAATGAGTGTGGGCAAGGCTTGAGTAACCTCCTCACACTACATTCTTATTGCGTGACAGCATTCGCCTAACTGACGGCACTGGCATACTGTACAGATATACTATGCAAACACCAGTGAACCCGAACGAATAATACCCATTTAAATGTATTCCGATTTTAGTATTTAATAATTAATTTGAGCACACCCAATTTATATCGCACTAAAACCAAATTTCTTTTTTTTTTTTGCTTTTTTTTAGGTTGCTGTGGAGCCATTCGTTTGCTTTTTACCGTTCTAGTGGTAGCCCTGCATTTCCAGACTCCAACCTTCCCCCGTCTACTAAACCAACACCACGTCCTCGCTCTCTCAGCAACAAGCAAGTCTGTGCTCTGCTCTTTTCAAAGGGTACTGACCGCACCTTTAGCTGCAACACGTGCGCTAAAGTCTACAAAAAGGGCAACGGCTACACCAACCTACTCAACCACCTGATACCTGGCAATGAAGGCACGACTGGCTGCCAACGCAGCCATCGTCAACTATCCAAACTTAGAATTTGGCCTCGTTAAGTTGCAGCGGGGAGAGGCGTTGACGGCTGCTGAAAAGGTGGCGTGCTCTCAATTTAGACTGCGTGATGCAGACAAAGCAGGAGAGACTGTGGAAGAGCAACGTGACTCAATTGTGAAAGAGGCATTCAAGCGGCGCAAGGTGGCCAAGCGTGCGGCGTACGAGGATGTTGCTTTCATCCCACCAACCTCCAACGAGTGCGAGCGCTTTTCTCGTCCGTGATACTCGTCTACACAGACCTGAGGAAAAGGATGGAGCCGGAAAAGCTCGAAAAGGTAATGTGCTTGCTTTATAACAAGGAGCTTTGGGACGTCCAGGTAGTTGATGATGTGCGCCGCAGTAATGCTAATTAATGCAATAATTCATTTTTTTCTGCCGCAGCTAGAGATTAATCGATGAATTGCATTATCGGGAACACTGGCAAACACACAGCGCTGGCATACTGTACTGACCTCTATGCAAACACACTGCACTCACATTGCATAGCAGTACAGTACAGTACATCAGCACAGTGGGTCAATACAGATATATTGCTGAACTGGACTGGAAATGCAAGTACTCTTGATGGTTGTAGGAATGTTAGACCAGGTCGCTCACGCAGTACGCGTTTACCGAGAGATTCATCCTTCCTCTTCGGTCAGTACTACTACTAATCCGATGAAGGCTGTCTAGACCCGCACTAGTAAGTACCATGTAAACTTCAACAGTTAGCTTTGTCGTCGTACTCCCCATTTCAATTTCTTGGAAGTCCGCTTGTTTTGTTACAGTGGAAAAAAAAAAATATAAAAACTATAGGGCTGACGAGTCCGACCGTGTTTTGTAAAACTCAAATCAGAATTTGTATTCTAGCTATTGGGTAAATATCAGAATCTTGGTGCGGAAGGTGGTCACTTCAGGTTGCGTCCTGTACCGCCTACTTCATTCCAGTTCCTGCCCTCTTGTTACCATCTCCATGAAGCGCTTGTCTATCGTCGGGTGTGCGTTGCTGCTGTCACCACCGCTCGCAGCCTCCGTATCCTTTCCCGATAATGTAGCGTCCCTCATTGACACATCCGCCGATCCTTGCGAGGATTTCTATCAGTTTTCATGCGGTGGATGGCTCGCAACCCACGAGATCGACGTGGACAAGTCCATAGTAGAATACTCATTCGATATGGCTCAGGACGCGATGGACGAGACCATTTTACAAGCGATCGCCAATGATTCCACCTCGTTGACCGGTGCACTCTTCGCTTCCTGCATGGACATGGACGCACGCAATGCACTCGGAGCGGAACCTCTACAAAGCGGTCTGGAGAGTATTGTGAAGGCGCAGAACAGGCAAGAACTCTTCCGAATAGCTGGACGACTCGCACGCACAGGCGCAGATTTTATCACAAACTTGCAACCACATTCGAGTCTACAGAACTCGAGTAGGAACATACTCTGGGTGTCGCATGCAGATCTGACACTAGACGACGAATACTACGAGAACCCTCAAGTGCTCACTTATGTCGAGACGAATCTGTCGGATTACGCGTCGACGCTACTGAATCTGACAGAGTTTCAATTGGAAACAAATGAGTACGACGACTATGGAGAAGTGGTGTTGAGTGTGGAGAAGCAGCTGATTGAGTTGCAAAACTACGCAGAGTTGGATCCAGTGAGTACAGATATGTACTATTTGTTCGCTTATAAAGAGGCTGCAGTCAACTATCCGCTCGTGTTTGGAGCGTACGCAGAAGGCATGCAACTTCTGGACGATGCCCCAGCACTAACTGAAGATTCGGAAGTTGCGTTACTCAGCATTTCGTACTTTGAAAAAGCTGAGGAGTTGGTGTCACTCCTTTCATTGGACGCACTTAAAGTGTACGTGGCCTTCGCATACATCAACAACTTTGCCAAGTTCTTGAGTGATCCGTTTGTTGCAGCCCACGTTAAATTCTTCCGTGGAGTGATGCTTGGAGCAGAAGCTTCGCTGTCATTAGAGAAAATTTGTGTGGAACATGTAATTGATCTGCTGCCTGTACACGCTGGTGCAGCGTATGTGGCTCATCGTGACGATATGAAGGAGACTGGAGATGCTTTTATCGCAATGCTTGACGAGATCCTCGATGCTATGGCACAAAATATCAAAACGCTGGACTGGCTGGACGAGCAGACACGAACTAGTGCATTGTCGAAGCTAGATACACTTGATGTGATGTATCTGGCGCCTGACGATGAACAGTTAGAGAAAGAAGCGGAAGGACTTGCCAAGCTCGACCCCACTGCATTTTTCGATAATGTAGATTTTATCTACACGGCTCAGTATGTCGCACTGACTTGGGCCATTGGAGCAGATGTGGATCGTGATGAGTGGGGGATGAGTGCTGCATCGGCCAACGCGTACTACTCGCCCTACGCCAACCAGATTGTGTTCCCTGCAGGAATAATGCAGAGTCCATTTTTCGATTCAAAGAGTACCGCAGCTCAGATCTTTGGGTCTTTGGGTGTCGTCGCCGGACATGAAATTACCCACGGGTTTGATACTATGGGTGCAAACTTCGATGCAAAGGGCAACTGGAACGCGTGGTGGACTGAAGTTACGGCCACCGAGTTTGAAACCCGGGCGCAGTGCCTAGTTGACCAATACAGTTCGTTCTACACTGAAGCGGAGGACGGAGTGGAGCTCATCCCTGTGAACGGCATGAAAACTCTGGGCGAGAATATCGCCGATAACGGCGGTCTACATGTGGCCTTCAACGCCTACAGAAACCGCATTTCTGGCTCAAGCAACGGTGGCAATAATACTGACGACGACCAGCTCTTCTTTGTGTCGTATGCGCAGACATGGTGCGGCAAAGAACGCGACGAGATGGCTGTGGACTCGTTCATCACGAACGTACACGCGGTTGGCGATGTGCGTGTGAATGGCGCCGTAATGAACAGCGCTGCGTTTGCTAAAGCTTTTAGCTGCCCCGAAGGAGCCACAATGAACCCAAGCAACAAGTGCGTTGTGTGGTAGATTTATAATACCAATCAAACAATATAAAATGCACTTGAACATTTTTAGCTTTAGAGTTATGGTATTTTTAGGAGCGCTTAATAAAATCTGGTGACATTGTAGTAAAACTTGGAGGTGACGATGACCTCGGACCCCATTGAAGATGAAGATGACCGCGAAAGGCGCCAGAGATATGAGGAGACGGAACGTGAACTACTGGCAGTGTTGGAAGCTGAAAGCTTGGATGAATCTACCCGTAAAAGGAAGCTTGTGGGGCTGTTTGATCGGTTTCGATCGGAATACACACAGCTGAGTGTAAAATTGCGCGAGAATTTGCGACTGCAGCGTCGACTCATGGACAAATGTCTGCAGATGAAGAACGAACTTGTAGTTTGCGCACTCCGGATTAAAACGACGGAGCAAGTGCACGCAGATGAGATCAAAAGCCTCATTTTCTACCGGGACGAATGTGATCACGCGTGGAAGCAAAGTGCACTAAGTCAAGAACGAGAACGTGACGCCATGCGCATTATTGATGACCTCAAGACCAAAGTTGAGGAACTGCAACTGCAGGTCAAAGCTCTGATGGCGAATGGTGCGTCGGCAGCACTATCAACTTGTCGACGTCCGTACAGTGGAGGTCCTCCTGAACTTGTGCCTGTGAGCTCACCCCATCTGCAGCAACCCCATCTATCGTCTCCCATTCTGAATGCTACAGTGTCGCCAACCAAAAGAACGAAATTCCAAGCTAACGGGTCGTCAAGCAGCTTTACGATGCCAACACTGCTCTCGTTTGACGAGTGGAAGACTGCGACGCATGTGTGGTGTCCAGCTACGCCACTGGCACTCGGAGGTTCTTCACGCGCAGCTCCAACACCCACGAAAGATTGCATTCGTACGTCAGAGCGTCACCACGAGATCTCTCGATGTGTTAGTGTGCCTACTTTGAATCCTACTCCTATGGAGCGCGTAAGCTCTCCACAGCAACACCAACGCCAACAGAAAGAACGGTTGAACTATACAGGCAACGTAAGTACAACACGCGCACGAACTGCTCCAGATCTTGCAGTTCCAACACGATCACCACTTCATTCTTTCGAAACAACTCCTACAGCACGACGAGGAGGCACTCCTGCCATCAAACGACGAGCACCTCGGCAACTGCCGCATGTGCAATAGAAAGCTCGGTCATATGGTTCCCTCTAAGAGAGAATGTAGTGCTGCATCTTTAGTTCGGGGCTTACAGCAAGGTTATTGATCGCCAGACAACTTCGTCATCGGCACCATGGATTGAGATTGTCATGGTTGAAGCCATTTTGTGTGCTCACAAGTCGCAGATTCCACGCGCCACATGGATTCCCGTCTATTGTCGTTAGATCGTGACAGCCTCCTGATTTCAATCCTTCCAATCACCAGCGTAGCCACCTTCGGGACCAACAATATCGGTCTCACCTGTCCACCCCGCAGCAGACAAACACTACCGGCAATATTAATAATACTTCACAACTATCTGCAGAATTTAACATCAAACCTCATAGCCAGCCGCCTTAGCACACAGCCATCACCAGCGGCAAGCAGGGTATTCAGCGCAAAACCAGCTGTTCAGACCTGAACGTGCGTGCGTCTGGCACAAGTTCCACACCAGCGATACACAATTTAGTCGATTTTCCACCAATCCTCTTCTGTAGAAAATATTTCAGCCAATCCAATCCTTCGCCGTTATTCACGGTAGAGGACCAAAGGAACGCACGAACAAATCCGTCGCAACGTCGCTCTCGAGCATTCCCGCATCTGTCTGCCAACGAGAGCGCCATGTACGGGGGGAACTCGCCCATCGGGGAGAACGCGGGCGAGCGCACGCACTCGAACGTATGGAAGGACACGTCGGAGGAGGAGATTTACGGCAGCTACCTGGGTCCAGGCGACGCCGGTAGTGACGTGCCCATGATGCGCCCCACGATGGCGGCTCGTCCTAGCACAGCCATTCACCAGGATATCGCTGTGGGCCAATTGGACGACACGGGCGCGGCTGGCGGAGGCGCTGCCAAGACGTACACGGGCCGTAAGGTCGTGTGGCCTGGCGCGCTTTTCTTGCTAGTGATCACGGCTGGAGCACTCGGTCTCATCACGTACTTTGGCGTGGAGGAATACAATAGCGCACAGACGCAGCAGTCACTGACCGAGTCAGTTACTGAGGTGGACAGGGAGAGGAAGGTCACGAGCGTTAAGAGCTGTTTGCTGCCGGATTACTCCACGGCGGACGGCAAGATCTACGCCACCGACAGCAACACTGGAGAGAAGGAACAGCTCGTGTTTACTGGTATCAATTGGAGTGGAATGGAGAACGCGGAAGGCGTGCCTCACGGTCTCGCCACCAAACAGAGTTATCTGGACGATATCGCCGCTAATCTGTCGGACAACGGCTTCAACGCCGTCCGTCTGCCACTTAACGCGCAGATGATCATCGACAACTCGGCGCCGAACACAAAACTCTTCGTCAACAGTCTGGACACAGATCTCAATGTGGATACATACATCGACATGATCAAGAAGGTCGTTCAAGGTCTCGGGAAGCAGCAGATCGGCGTGCTGCTCGACATCCACAAGATCGACCCCAACTTCACGGACGACACGTCCGAGCACTTGTGGTTCACGGACGATTACCCCATTGCCACCATCTACAAGATGTTCGAGACTCTGGCCACCGAACTGTGCAGTGATCTCGAGTACAACATCATCGGCATTGACCTCAAGAACGAACCTGTGGGTGGCTGCTGGCCCGCAGACGATACCGACGAATACTGCGACTCGGACGTCAATTGGCCGCGTGCCGTCGAGACTATCGGCAACAAGATCCTCGCTATCTGCCCCAACTGGCTCATTGTGGCCGAGGGCAACTACGCGACCAACACAGTGGCCGAGATCAACGGCGCCAACGTGACGTATAACGACTGGTACGGCGCCAGTCTACAGAACGCCAGTGTGAACCCAATCGCACTTAAGACGGACGGCAAGCTTGTGTTCGCCCCCCATTTCTATTCACCCAGTGTGTACCCATCTTCGTATTTCTTCAAGAAGCAATCTTCGAGTGGGGACACCGTATCTGTAACTGAATACCCTAACACGACGGAGGGCAATGTGCTGCTGAAGGCCGCTGTGACGGCTGTGCTGGACAATGCCTTCGGTAATGCCGTGACGGAGGTCGGTGTGCCCACGTTCTACGGTGAATTCGGTGGTATCTACGGCTCTGCGGAGCTGCTGGCGGGTCTTACGAGTACTCGTGTGATTGAGATGCTCATTGAGTACGCTAACGATATGAACATGACGGGCGGCTTCGCGTGGGCTATCAATCCTGATGGATCTTATGACTTTAACGACGAGTACAAGCCTGACGATCCGTGGCAATACGGTCTCTACACGAGCTCGTCGTGGGATGCGTACCACACGGACTTTGCCACTGGCTTGCAGAACTTGAAGGGTAGTGGCTCGTTCCCGTGTTTCTCGAAGACCACAACAGTGACGTCCTCAGGTTCCGGAAGTACAAGCGCCACCATTACGACGGACTCAACGACCAGCGACTCATCAAGCTCAACGGCCGCGACTACCGCGACTTCTACGGCTGCGTCTACCGCGGCTTCAGGCTCCGCTGCTGCCACGACTGCCACGACTGCGACGACGACTACGACGGCGTCTTCGGCTGCGACAGCGACTGCGATTTAAAGGGGATCGGCGGAATTGGCCTGGAGTTTGGTGGCTTAGCCGCCTCCTTGTGTAATATGCATCCGGCCACGCAGTTTTTGCCTCTAACTGCCTCGTTTTCTGTAATGGCGAGGTTTGCATAGATTCTTCATTTTTCGTCTTTAATTCTCCCTAAAAAAACGTAAAATGCTCGATAAACGCAAGAGATTCAGCGGTGTTAACCTTATCGGAACGAATGCAATAGGTCTCTTGGGTAAGAGTAGCAGACAAGTGGGTCCTTCAAGCCGTCTTAATCTTCTTCTGCTGTCGCTCCTGCTCAGCGCAAGCCCGCTTGATTGCAGCGTTCTTGGAGAGCAGCTCGTAGTATTTGCTCCGGTAATTTTGCAGTTTACTGGCGTTGCGTGATTGGTCTTGTTGCCGAGTCAAGTTGATCTTATCCGAGGCCGCCTTAGACTCCTTCAATGTGCGCTCGTACTGCGCGTTAATGCCGTCCAGAACGGCAGCACGCACCTTCGCCAGCTTGGTACCGTAGCCCTGCTGCAGCTCCAAATTCACCACCCTACAGAAGCAGTAGAGACAATATTAGCGTTCTACCTCATACAACCTTTTTTTGTTGAGAGACGTAGCATTTTCTACCTATTTCTCTGGTGTTCTACGGCCACTTGGAGCTGCTTGACAGCACTCTCCCAGGACTCCAGACTCTGTACGTGCTTGCCCGTAGGCTCCTTGACCTGGTACCGGTTCATATCGATGGCATCCAAAGGTACGTTGGCCGCCACACGCTTGAACTCGGTCTGCAGTCGCGCTCTACCGCCGAAAGTGGGTGTGTAAGACGGCAAATAGGCCAGATACTTGTCCTGCGGCGGGGAAAACGTCGCCATCTCCGCACGGATCTGCGCCTGTACCTGCTGCTGACTCGCGGGTGAGTTGTACTCGGTGTCCACGTAGCCCAGCAAGTCGATGAGCGCGCGGCTCTCGGCCAACAGCGGACTCGACGGGAGCGCCATCGTATCGACTGTCAGATAATGACTCAATTGATGCAACATGTCACTAAAGAGAGGGATATTTGAAAAATATGGCAATGAAGTTGCCCTTTCGAATACTTCACCCTGCTGCACGATTCCTCCATAACACAGTTTGATCAGGTGGTTATCAGATAATCTGCCTGTCGGAATGATAGCCTAGTGGCGTTAGTACGCGCAGTGAGGCTCGGCCGCGAAGCAGAGTTTTGCAAGACTGAAAATGGCCTATTGTCAAGTTTGGTTGAACACTGCCTGAACGAAGCTAGTTTCGAGACTCTCCGTCACTCGTCGCTGGCATGCCAGCTGAAGTAATTTTTGTACTAACGTTAATATGAAGCGTTGTGCATTACCATCTCGGTTTTGGCGTGGATTGTGCTGAACCAACAGTCACACATCCTAGCCGGAGCCGTGGCAATTCTAGACTGCCTTCATCATGAACGCGGACATCGACTAGCTGAGAAGCTGTGCACACATTGGACAGTGCTAACATGTCGACACCTAGGTTTAATAAATAGATGATCTGTATGTTGGTGGTTTTTATTCCTCCAGGCTTGACTTTGGCCAGCAGGATAAGTGTCCACCAGTAGCAGAGCAGTGAAGAGGTTGCTCCATAAGGATGCATAGGGGAGAAGAGGCCGAATACCTTCATCACCTTGTGGGTAATTGATCATGGATCCCGCGATCCCGGTGTTACTTTCCCATTGGGAAGAACGCTAGCACTGGGGGCGACAAACTCCCCCGATTCCTGTCGATAAAAGTCGCCCCAATAGAGGACCCCCATCAATCCCCCGCCCTCTTCAGCCGCATCACCGCCTTCCGTATCGCACAGGACGTCGACATACGCTGTAGGTCCACCGCGTAGGACCACCGTCAGTCTTCGTGCATACAAACCGCAAATCAAAATGATCAGTGGACATCCATTCCCTCAATACTCGATATCACATACATAAGATCCTTTCAATTCGAATCCATCGTAATTGAAAGGGTCTCTAGCGTGTGGCTCACATCGGAGTTGAGTATGCTGGCGAGACAAGTGACCCGCGTGAACGGCCTGTTGCGCCGGCAGTCGACGCAGTCGCTGCGCTCCCTGGCGACGGCGGACAAGTCCAAGGCCGCTAAACCTGCTGCGCCCAAATTCCGCAAGAAAAAGACGTTCCAGTTCTCTGGTGAGGACGTGGAGAAGACGACGCCTCTGGAGGAGTTCGAGTACCCGTCGTACTGGGATGAGGACTACCCCGCAGACTTTGACAACGAGATGAAGCACGAGGTGGAGAAGCTGCAGATTTTCGCCGACTTTACGCCGTACCTGGACCTGTCGTGGCAGACGCAGATCCACCCGCTGTTCGACGGCGAGGCGATTAAGATGACGCTCAACTGCCCGCTCGAGGACTTCGACGAGCGGCTCTTCGTGGACGACAAGACCACGTACGACACGAAGGTGGTGATGGAGGTGCCTATGACGTGCTTCAAGGGCCTTAACAAGGAGGCCAAGGACATTGTCGCGCAGCTCGCAGGCCCGCGTTACAACGCCAACAAGAAGATGATCAAGATCTCCGAGGACCGCTACAACAAGCGCGTGCACAACCACAAGCGGATCTGCGATATCCTGCGCGACCTCACGCAAACTGCACTCGAACTCAGCGGCCAGGCCTCAGAGGAGGCCACCAAGAAGGCTAAGAAGGAGTAGGTAGGCCCGCTTGTCTAGCTGAAGAGCATCTGAAACACTAGGAATGGTACATGTACGGTGTTAAGTGCTCGAAGCTAACACGTTAGATATCTCTTTGCTGCTTGGTCAGATAATGATACATAGATGATAATGGGGAGGTTGGTAGACGCAGCAAAACACAAACAGGTAATTCGATTCTCGAGGTGCTTAATGGAGGGGGAGTATGATGCCTTGACGGTAGTCCGGAGTGGTCGTCGTCTTCTACTAAGCTCCCGTGCGTCCCAGGTATGTCTAAGATCCCGCTGCTGGGCTACCTAACGCTTACGCCTCACTGTCCTGACTTCTGCGCTCTCTTTGCCTTATCGGACTAAATCCTGCACACGTAAGAACTGGACTGCGTCACATAGCGCACCCATCGCTTGTACGTGTAGTTGGGATGACGCGCGTGCTCCGGGATACGCAGATAGCGCACCTGCAGACTCGAGGTATTGTACATGGGGATCTCAAAGTTCATGCTCACAGGGCCGATCTCACGCCGCACGTGTGGACTGGGCTGGCCCAGCGTGATCTTGGCTCGCAGCGTGAGTTCTGTTCCTCCCGTGAAGCGCTTGATGGCCCAACGCACCTGGTTCTCGTTCTCGCGATACTCTGCCAATTGCCCTGCTGCGCTCTTGCCAATATCACAGGACACTGCCACAGTGGACTGTGGCACGGGGAAGCGGATAATGACGTTCGCGCCGTAGTTGTTCTCGGGCATATCGGCGCGGATCTTGAGCACCATCTCGATCTTAGTAGGGGACAGTTCCTCCACGAACGGGAAGATACGGAAAGGGGCACGGAAGTCACCGGTAATACGGTAGTTGATGACGGTAAACTCTCCGTCCGGAGGCTGGAAGATCAGCACACGGTCGCGCTCGAACTCGTCCAGCTGCACGCAGTCGTGGAAATTGCAGTCGTCCAGCACCACCTGTCCGTATTGTCTGGCTCCAGTATTGCCGATAACCAGGTCTTCATTAAGTGCGAGTCGCAATTCTGGGTTGCCAGACAAGTAGCTCTTGAGTTGGATGCGTCCTTCGATAGAAGCATTGAGCATCTGTCCGCCCGAGGAGAAGACGACGTTGAGTCGCTCCAGGATGTCACAGAAGAGCTCGTTCTCGTCCTGTTTCTTGGAGCTCTGTCCAGCTGTAGCCACAGGCTTCTTGACGGCGCTAGCAGCCTTGATATTGGAGCTGCGGTTCATGAATTTAGAGCCTGCCTTGGGCTTGGACAGCACAGCGTCGCCTACAAGGATAGCCTCGTTGTGTACGTGCACCTTGAGGCCCTCCGTACTCGTGTCCTGAGCGAAGCCATAGTCCAGTGTCTCGTCCAGTAGCTCGTAGCAAAGAATAAAGTTCTTACGCAGCGTCTCCTCACTCAACACGCCGCAATAGTCTTTGAACACGCGGCACAGACGCGTAAGCAGCTCCAGGATGTAGCTGGGACTCACATTGTAGCGTGTGGTGGCTACAAAGTACAGTCCGTTCTTCTTAACGAACAGATAATTGACGCCGTCCACGTTGAACGTTGGGGGAGCGTCTCCCTTCTCCCAGAATTTGACTTTGCGGAAGAAAATCTCGGCCGAGTTGCTCTCTACGTCGCCTCGGAAGTCGCTGAAGATGATGGTGTCGCCCCGCGTCGACAGGATGTAGAACTGCGAGATGGACGACGACATGGCTATTGCGCCTGGTGGTGAGCTAGCCGCGCTTCGGAGGTGCCACGTCAAAGGCTCAGTCTGTGTTGGTCGAGGGAGGATAAAGGACGAAGATCGAGCGCACGACAGGACGGATATAAGAACTGTGAACATTTGTAAGCGCGGTAAGATCCCTCTATATGAACAAATTTGGAATGATCGGTGACGATAGCTAGTTTAGAAATTTTATGTACTGTTTGTGACATGTTGCTTTGATTCTGGCGACAATCAAATTCTAAAAGCAAACCCACTTTAGATCCTCGAACTCGGACATGATGCACGATCCAGCATCGAAAGTGCTCTTATTGACATCACGTCTTGCTTGCTTGCCGTGTGGGTGTGGATGAGGCGCTCTTGAACTGACGAGTTTTGTCACTAGCATATCTATGCCAACGAACAACCAAAACCATTTCTTTCATCGATACTTGATTGGGGATTGCTACTCTGCCTGGGTTTGCAGCTTCGAGGTTTCATTTCGCAGTAGTAGGAACCGTGGTGATCGTCATCGTAAGAAAAAAGTATCGCCATCATTACCCAGGTATATTTCATGAAGACACTTACAATCAGTGTTGTTCACGCCAGCATTCATTTTTTAAAAGGATGCAGTTCGTGCATCACAGTGCCGGTGCATAGTGAGATAATTGCACAGCGAAATAACGCGTGGGCGGTATTCCTCCCCCCAGTATATAAGCTCCAGCTAGGATCGTCACCATAAATCGAAGCCAGATCCAGCATGTTTGTTGCTTCACGATCCAATTTGTACCAAATGCCTCATTCCCATACTCCTATGTCTCCATTGAATCTTTCTTCAGTCCTAAATCTCTCAATTGTTTACTTATCGTCCCCCCAATAATCATCCTGAACCCGGGTCCCTCAACCCAACCCGTCGCTTCCAAAAATCAAAAAGCGAAAAGCGACTACTGGACTCGAAGAACCCTCCGCCATGCCCAGCAGCGAGGACTCGCGAGCATCGAGCCACAACACGTGGACGCTGGACGAGTTCGCCGATCTGGTGACGGCCTGGGAGCTGGCGACGTCCCGACCACGCGACGCTAACGCGCAGACCCTGCACGACGCCGTGTTTAAGCACTTTGTGGCTCTACGGGGCGGTTCCACACGACGTAACAAGGCGGCGCTCACCAGTAAACGCAGCGCACTCAAATTCTCCTACCTCTACATTCGAGACTTTGACAATGAGCAGAAATTGAAGAAACTACCAACATTTTTCGAGTTGCCATTCTCCAAACGGACGGAAATTCTGAGTAGCTGGAAGAAAATCAACTCGAGTCTAGTAGAGATCACCCACGTGATGTTCCAAGGACTAGGAAGGATCGTAAGCAAAGGAGGAGACGACGAGCCTGTGTTACCTATTAGAAAACGCCAAAAAGAGCTGCAAGAAGCCACAACCACGACCAGAATGGAGACCAGACCAACGCGAGCTTCTGCGGCTTCGAACGCCAGTTCTACGCCAAGTCCTACGAGTTCAAAGACTAAAAAGAAACACCCGGCAACGGCTCGGTCAACGAGCAACCCGTGGTCCTCTGAAGAGATGAAGCAACTGGTTAAAGCCTGGGGGATAGCAGCGCAGATAGTTTGTGATAGTAATTCGGGGGAACCGATGTCCATTGTGCACGAGATGTTCCGACAGTTTGAGATCTTGCAAGATGGCAAGAACGTACGCAACTTATCGGGCCTAGCAACACGACGTAGAGTGCTGAAGCAGTCGTACTCTAGGATTTCGGCCTTTGACAAGATCCAGGAGATGAATGGAGAGCCGAAATTCACGGCTTTACCCGTGGCAACAAGACAGAGCTTGATGCGGTCGTGGAAGAACGCCAACTTGTTGGATTTGTCGGCGGAAATGTACGCGGACTTGCACCATATCATCGCGCTGGACACCCGAGCGGTGGCTCTGGAAGATATGCGTCGTGCGAAAGCCACAGGGTCTAATGTATCGAGCTCAATGACTGGAAGAGCTGGGAGGAAACCAGGGAGACCGTCGAAGAAGCAGAAAACGATGCGGGATGACGATGATGAAGTGGCCAGCAATTTCTCGTCGCAACCACCGAGTGTTGCTGATAGTGAAGAGGAGAAAGCGGTGATTCCCATGATGGTAATTCAAAGCAAAGAGGAGAAGGCGTCTAGAGTTTACGACACAGAAAACCGAACTGACGCTACTAATTTGTCAGTGAGCGATGATCGGAACGCAACGATAGCTCCAAAGCCAAGTGTCGCCGCAACAAGCCAGATTATTCCTCGACAAGGCACTGAAAGGAGTTCACTACCCACCGTTAACCAAGATCATAACACTGTACAACCGATTGCTGCAGCTCCTGCTTCTGTCCAAGCTGACAAGATGATCCCTGATAACGCTTCTACCCAAGACCGCGTCCAGCAGAAGACGCTGGCACCAAAGCTTGTTCCTAGTCCGATTGAAGCTGTTCTATCAAGCAGCAATCCGATAGCGACACTGGATGACGACGCTCCTAAGACTCCAGGCCGATGGGGGAAACGGAAGCGCAAGGTGCATCCGGACGGCCCCAATGGCCATTTGTGGGAGAACAAGGAGCTCCAGCTCCTGATCAACGCGTGGGAGAAAGCAGCCATTCTCGTGTGTAACAGCAATCCGTCAGAGCGACTGTCCCTCAACAGAGAGATGTACCGTGAGTTCGTGGAGATGCAGGGTGGCTACTCCGTACGGAACAGCACAGCCCTTGCAGCACGACGCAGTTCTCTCAAGTTTTCGTACGCTCATATTCGCGCGTTCAATGAGTCCCAGAAGGCCAAAGGTGAGCCTTCTTTTCACGAAATTCCAGATGATACACGCATGAATTTACTGCGGTCATGGAAGAACCGCAATTCGGTGGACCTGACGAAGGAAATGTACGACGGATTGGGGCGTATCCTCGCTATGGACGAGAAACTGGCTCAAGTTCGCAGCATGCGTCCGCCTCCTCATGCTAAACCCAAGAAAACAGCCAAGAGCGCGAAAGAAACGACCGATTCCAAGTCTTCTGATCCGAATCACGCATCTAAAACAGCCAAATGGGCCACAGAGGAGACGTCGGACTTGATAAAGGCGTGCGCAGACGTCATGAATGTCCCGACCGACAAGGAATTGTCACAAACTGACCGTGAATCGTTGATTTTTGACGCTTTCGTGGTCCGTCGAGAGAATGCTGGAGACACGGACACGCCTATTCGACGCGATCTGCGGTCAATGGCGCAACAATGGAGGTATATCCTGGCTTCGTACTCGTATATCAAGGCGTGCAACGACAGTCGCTCGGAAGATGAGAGTCCGTCTTGGTTCGAGATGTCCCCCGTGCAGAAGCGAGCCTACCAGCAGTGTACCAACGTCCCGTTAAAGTTTGTGGATCTGGACGAAGATATGTTCGCTCTGGTCACCAAAACTTCCTTCATGGGTGTACCCACGCCAACGGAGCCGTCTCCTGCTGTTAAAGCTCCCGCCGAAGGGATCTCGTTGCGTCCGCGATCAACGCGAAAGCGAACGGAGGCGTTCTGGTCGTCCGATTCCGAGTCGTCCGTGTCTGAAGTCCCGACGCCAGAGGGTCAAAGTGGCAGCACTAAAGACCCCACGTTTACGGCGGGCAAGAAGCGCAACAATTGGCCTGCAGAGGAGATCTGGAACCTGATCCAAGCGTGGGAAGAAGCGTCGGAAATGACCAAGAGCACCAAGTTGACGGCTGCTATCCACGAAGCCTACGCTCTGTTCATGAAGCGAGAGGGTTCAGCTAACAGGAATCGCACGCTGAACAGTGTACGCAACAAAATGATCGCGTTGAACGCGTCTTATGGCAACATCGCGGCGTTCATCGCTGAGCGTGGCGACAGTTCGTGGTTCAAGATGACGCCAGAAGAGCGACTGGTTGAGATCCGGAGCTGGGGGAACAAGACGGTGATCGATCTTAACGAAGAAATGTTCAACTCTATGACGCGGATCTTGGACAGGAAGGCGAGCGGAGCTGACGACAAAGCTGCGAAGCGTAAGCATGGGAAACTAGCGAAGAACGATACAAAGGAGCAGAGCCATGTCGGTCAGAAACCTGACAAGTATGTGGCTGCGAATTGGAGCAAAGAAGAGCTGCTTAAACTCGGTGAAGCGTGTGGGGAGTTACTGGAAGGAAGACGCAGTCGTCGCTATGTGTTCGAAGAGGAGAAGGATCGATTCTTCCGGAAATATGAAGAGCTGGGCGGTACGAACTCTCTGGTTGCAGCTGTGGGCCTAGCGAGGTTCGTTCTGGACTCGTACGAGTTCATTTACTTCTACGACCAAAAGGCAGCGGAGACCAAGTGCTTGTCTTGGTTTGAGCTGGACTTGGAAGACCGGGATGAGATCACGAACAGAGTGAGCAAGTCGTATCGCAGCTTCAACGGGCTAACCACTGTGGACGAACAGATCTACGACGTGATTGACAAGATCGATGCCAAGTTACGGGTCAAACTGGGAGAGACGAAGAAGAAGACGTACAAGCCTCCGAACGATGCGTCATCTTCTCGATACGTCGACATTGAGGCTGTTGTGGAACGCTGCACTTACAAGAAGAAGAACCACTCAGTGTCGAAGAAGGCTGACGTTGCTGTACATGAGGACGAGGATGAAGAAGACTCGGAATCCTCTGAAGACGAGGCTTCAGACAGCGACTCGAGTGCTCCAGTCGTGATCTCTCGTTCAGTTCCGCCTCGAGTTCGTCGTGATTCACACGCGAGTGCCTCGACACGGACGTCTCGTAAGCGCTCAAGAGCTGAAGACGTCGAAGGTTCGTCGACCTTGTACCTCACAGAGATCATTCAACAGCAGAACAGCAAACTGGAAGAAGCCGTCAAGCGGTTTCGGAAGGAAAGCGCCGTAGCTCGTAAGGAACACCACGAGTTCTTGCTACGGAAGATCCAGGACAGCTTCCCCGTCGACACTGGCCATGGTTCCTTTTTGGAGCGAGTGGCTGAGCGACAAGGAGAGATGTTGGCTGATCTCTTCCAGGCACTGCGCTGGCAATGCGACGCGGAGAAGAAGAAAGACGAAGAAGTGTTGCGGCAGTTGTTCGGACGGGCGTAAGCAGGTACACGAGCTAGCGTTTCATACATTATGCTGAGCTATTGAGTCGTGTAGAAGACGGCCCCGCACGTTGTGTGTGTCTGGACTTGTGTTCTGTTCCGCCCAGGTAACTGACGTCCAGGGATTGCAACTGGACCGACGCTGGTGCTAACGATACAGCCGCCTATCTGGAGCTCTTGGAAGACGTCGGTGAAGATCTCACTGACCTGGTTCGCGTGAACTGAATCGTCGACGTCATTCAACGCCCCTGCAACTGTAAAGGCTCCGAATGCACGCTCGGTAAGGCCTGACTTAGTGCGTTCAAGCGCCTCTGTTAGTGCCTGAGACGTCCGTGTCGACTGGTGGGAAGCGAGAACTCCATAGTCTCCTTCCTGCCAGCAAAGGCCGGGTAGAGCCATCAGCCGGTCCTGCAGCCAGAAGACGAACTCTAATCGATCGATACGGGCTGTAGTTAGAGTGTCCTCGTTAGAGTTAAAGTCGACAAGGCGTTCGAGCGGTGCGCTATCTGAACACGAGAAGATGTTTAGCGTCCTGCCTTCTTGTTCAATAGCGAGCCTTTCGGACGGATCGATGAGGTCCAGGACGTGTTGCGAGCCTTCTGACGTCGAGACGAGATCGTACGTCACCACTTGACTCAGTTCTTCAGCTACACTCGCACGTTCGCATTGAACCACGGGCGTGATCGGGTAATAGCCGCTAGAGGAGAAGCTTCTGACGCCGACGTTTCCGTGGAGACGAAGTAGCATCGTCGAGGGGAAAACTACTTGACGTGGGCGACGTAGTGGCTTGCCTCCTCTCTTCTTACGTGCTCGGTCTTGGTTGACTGGTGCTTTGTAGGTCGCAAGGGGGACACAACGATCAATAAGCGGTGATACAGCACCAATGACTGTAGCCGTGGGATACCATTCATCCAGAACGTGTACGAGTTGATCCGCACTCTGGTCGTTCACTCCGAATAGCATAAAAGACGGCGCATCTTTCCCTTCCAATGCAGTAAACGGGTTGTCGAGCTCCACTCCTCGTTTACATCTTCTCAGCTCCTTTCTGTCGAACTCAGCGTTCTCCAACGTCGTCTCCGGTAAATGAGCAACTGAAATGGACAGCGTCACGGCGCTAGAACTTCCTTCTTCCTCCACTTCGTCCTCTCTTGTCCCCAGCACTGCGTTTAGTGTGAACATCATCACAAGTCTACACGCTGGAGGTAGCAGTCTCGCCTCTTCAATAGCAGCAACAACTTCTTCCCAATACCCACCACTATGCCACGGACTGGGGTCTATACTAGCAGCAATGAGCAGCACCAAGTCCGGTGCGAAGCGCGTGTCGGCCCATTTCAAGTGGTTGGCTCGCAGCAGTTCGAGACTCTCGAGGCCATTGACGGACGGACCTAAAACCGTGGATCGCCACTCCGGATGAAGCTTCTTCGCTTCATTAACTACGCGTCTCCACTCGCAACAGACGCTCAGCATTGCGCTGGTGTCTCGCCATGTCAGAAATGGTACGAGTTGAGTCCAGAGATCGGATGGTAGAGTGGTCGCTTGACTTTGAGCTTTAACACCATTGCGAGTACGAGCAGTTGGCCGCTGCCGACTGCGGGACGTTGAAGCTTTAGACTTTGCCGAGCTGCGTAGAGGAGTCTTAGAGCGATGGCGTCCACGGCGCGACTGGTTGTCCACCATGATGCTATTGCGATGTGAGACTTGTAAGTGGTACAGAGTACCATCTGCTAACGCTGGACAAGGAAGGTCTCAGCTAAGACATCATGGTCCATGGAGAGTCACCACTGGAGATCTCTACGTTACTACGCATTAGGCATGGGATAGCACACGAAAGAGCATTTCTGAGGACGCTTTGTTCTGGACGCGATATACATTACACAGTGCGGAAGAACGCGAATGACTTTAGTTTCTTAAGAGACCGACAAGAGCAAAGGGAACGTCCACATGATAACATCGCCACATCGGTACGATGCTGACGAAGAACAAGAAAGCCTAGAAACGTCGGTACATGTACCAGAAAAAATGATAAACCGTGCCTGAAGTGCAAGTATCGAGTCAGAATCATCCGCCACCGACTTGATGACAGCTCCATGATCGACGCGTGCAATTGCGAATGTCGAATGCACATCAACGGGAAAGCAAATGGAGATGAAGAGGATGCAGGTTTTCATCTGGTGGGAATATTTCGATGGTAGAGCGCTAGAATCGCAGCACATATCGATAGGATACGGTCATCTCTGTCAGAGCGGAACTCGAGAGGGTCACACGGTCGTCGCATCGGACGCTTGCTTGTCTGGCTTGCCCGACGAGCTTCAACGTGTAGGCGATGGCGACGATGGCCTGCCGCCAGCATCGATGGCTAAACGACGAAGATAAATGAGATGATCATTTATCTTCTAGATGATCTATAGAGCGCACTTGACAGCTCCATGACAGCACCAACTTCTCGAAAACAGGCTGGAGCGTTGCAAACCGGCATAGATAGTGCTTGCTGAGGCGTATCCAGGCGACAATGGACGTTTCATTGACGTTGCGTCCGCTCCGTCAGCACCTGCCTTAGCAGAACCTTTGGCGAAGAGCTCACCTCCCACAGCTCTTGGCACTGTCGATTTCGCGTCCTCGACCACCAAGCTCCACCTCAAACCATGTCAGGCTTCACCGATGTCAAGATGTTCGCTGTGAGCGCAACAGTGCTTTATCTCAAGTTCCTAGCCTGCACTATGATCCAAGGTCGCAAGGCCTTCGCTGCCGGCACGCGTATGCCTGAAGACAGCCAGCTACCGCAGGCCAAGAACGCCCCGAAGCAGGGATTCGCAGACCTCACCGACGACGCTATCCGGACTGCCGCGGAGGAAGAAATGCGCTGGAAACGGATCATCCAGAACGACCTCGAGTCCATGCCCATGGCCTACGTCGTATTCTGGAGCGCGATCTGCATGGGCGTGACCGGTGGCATCACCAAGACGTTGATCTTTGTCTACACCGTAGCGCGCGTCGGCCACACCATCGTGTACGCCCAGAGCTTGCCTCGCGCGCGAATGATCTGCTGGATGGTAGGCATGGGTTGTGTTGTTATCGCTGCAGTGAGCAGCGTCCTAGCCGCCGTGTTTTAAGTTAAATCCTACGAATATCAATGCCGAACTGTGGTTTCCATCTTGTCGCCCGTCAAGGAGTATAACAATAACTAGGCCAGGTTGAAGCTTATCTACCGGAAGTCGAGCAAGCAGACAGCAAGTGCAAAAACCCGAAGCGCGTCGAGGTCAGGCATGTCGATCAGGCGGCATGAACGCCCCAGCTCTACGCTTGTTTGATGCATCTTCAGTGAAGATTCTTCCCATACACTGAAGCCTTCCACTGCAGTCATTCTCCAATTTTCCACGCGTCAATAAGAACAATGCTGGATGCTATCACCGACGTGCAGACCTTCGGTCTGACCGCTTCTATTCTCTACGTCAAGTTCCTTGCCACGTCCATGATGCAGGCTCGTAAGTCGTTCGCGGCCAACACGCGCATGACTGAGGACAAGCAGCTCGTGTGTGCCATGGGTTTGTCGATAACATGGACGAGAAGCAGCTCAAGGTCGCGCTGGACAACGAGACCCGCTGGCGGCGCATCGTGCAGAACGATCTCGAGTCCATTCCGCTGGCCTTCTTGGTCTTCTGGGGTGCTATCCAGAACGGCGTCAGCCCGGATCTCACCAAGACGCTCATGATCGTGTACACCGCTGCTCGCTTCGGCCACACTATCGCCTACGGATCGGGTGCAGCCAAGTCTCGCATGGCCTGCTGGATGTCCGGCACCGCTTGCATCCTCACGGCTGCCGCTAACATCGCCATGAACGTTTTCGCGTAAGAAGACGCAAGTATTCTGCTAGGAACTATCTGTAACCATCGGTAATCAACATTGTTGATAACACACAAAGCTCTTCTGTCGGTTGCGTCGCCTTGAACGGCACCCCTTGGTGTAACTTCGATGAAAAGTTCATGTACAGCTTTGGTCTGGCCTGCAACATGAGTGCAATACCTGAAGCATCAAGATGACGGACGAATTTAGAATCGTGCCTGACGAGTAAATGCGCCTGATCCTGATCTGTCCAGCCTTGTTCTTGTTTTTGAGAGCCTGTCCTCATGATTTGGTCAGGCCAATTGGGTCAGGCGCTTTTATCCGTTCGAAACCTGTAGAATTCGTTCACCTAGTCATACCGATACATTAAATTCGCAAAGCAGTTCAAAACTAACACAAGTCTTTCTTTGAAATTTGATTATCATGTAAGAACGTTTGAAGAGCATCCCTTCAACTTGTAACAACTGTAGCCATCTCGTGCCAACAATTGTCGTCATCACTGGTCAGGGGCAACAAGAAAGGAATCCTCAGCTCCACTGCATTCGTCAATTTGCTCGCAAGCTCTCACCTTCTCCTCCATGCTGGGCTCCATCTCCGACATCAAAGTGTTCGCTCTGAGCGCTTCGGTGCTTTACATCAAGTTCCTGATCTCGACCATGATCCAGGGTCGTAAAGCCTTCGCCGCCAACACGCGTATGCCCGAGGACAAGACACTCGTGTGTAACATGGGGATCACTGTTGACACGGACGAGAAGACCATCAAGGCGGCCGCAGAGGACGAAATGCGGTGGAAGCGCATCATCCAGAACGACCTCGAATCCATGCCGCTCGCCTTCGTGGTTTTCTGGAGCGCCATCACTGTGGGCGTCAGTCCTGCCATCACTAAGACTCTCATGCTCGCCTACACCGCCGCTCGCATTAGTCATACCGCCGTATACTCCATGATCATGCCGCGCGCACGTATGATCTGCTGGATGGCCGGCAGCTTCTGCATCGTGACTGCAGTGCTCCACACTGTGGCGGTAGCTCTCATGTAGTAACTAATAGACTGGCTGCTATGAATGATATGCAGTATTCTAACAGATTCAATACAGCAATGCTGGGTATGTTCAAACGTTGCATTGAATATCAAATGAATGCGTTGTAGCAGTTCTGACGCCTTGTTTTCTCTACTCTAACCACTCGACGTCGAGTTACTGGACGGAGCATCCCCAGCCCTCCGGTTCCTGTCCGGGAAGGTAGTGCTTGCCGGTCTTCCATTCGGGGCAGCGATCCTCCTCCTTCACACCTGGATAATATCGATGATACAGTGAGTATCCCTCCTCTCAAGTCGAACTCGCTTCTCTACAGACACGTACCGTTGAGCGCGCTTTCGATGTGCATGCCGCAGCCTCTCCACGTGGGCTTGTGGCACGTTGCACACTCGGTCTTCATGCACATTCTGGCGGTGCAGTTGATTCACTTGCGATGCAGCTGGGGAGTTCGCGAATGAACTGATGACCCGGTTGCGCGCAACAATGTGCCTGACTTGGTACAGTCAGGTCAGGCATACCTACGTCTGACACTAACCTAAGTAAGTACATTTTACAACTTTTCGCGAGGTTATTCGATATGCAAAGAAAAGGCTATATTATAGGATGTAGCTTCAACCTCTATGGATGTCAGGCTAAAGCGTTCCTAGTGCTGGCCTGCCTTCCAATTCGGGCAGCGGTCTTCTTCCTTGACACCTACGAGTAATAAAACAAGTTAACAGGAGAGATCTAGGCTGTGAGTTCTAGCAGAGCATACCGTTGAGAGCAGTGTCGATGTGGTTGCCGCACCCGCGCCAAGTGGTTTTCTGGCAAGTAGGACACTCGATCTTGATGCACATTGTGATGAACTCTGGATGTGGTTGCTTCGGCTGGTGGAGTCGAATTCGAGAGTGATCAAGTTACAGCGAAGTCAATTCACGACGTGATTTTGCAGCACGAAAATTGCCCTCGCCACCAAGGAGATCGCCACGAGAAAACTGAAAGCACGAAACGGATTGTTCGCCGTTATGGAAGCATGTAACCAATGCAATGAACAAGTAAAACGGTCGATCTATATGTAGTTCCATTAAGTTTAGTTACAGAGGCTTCGTGCATGCAAATGTGTTAGCGGCGAGCTTTCACTGAAGGCCAACAATCGGATGGACAATTGCGCGCCTCATATCCCGATTGCGCGCTTCGTCCTCGATCATGTCGTAGACCTTGGCATCATCGGGCAGATCGTAGTAGTTGCGGCCGGTGAGAGGTGCGGTCGTGATGCACCATTCGTCCAAGTGACCATGCTCCATATCCTCGAGCAAATACGTGTACGTCTTGACGGCCTCGTCCTCCAGAAATTCCACGAAGCGTTGATGCGTTCTGGGAGACACCATGTAAGCTAGCGCAAAAGCTGGAAACGTGACGGCCTGTACGGCGAACACAGTCATTCGAGTGAGCCAGCCTGGTTCTTTCATCTCCAAGAAAATGAGCTGATGAATGCGCTCATTCTTGCTCTCCTCGATAATGCTTTGGTCATCCTGCTGGAGAGATCGCACTGAGCGTAGATGACGTGCCATACTCTCCACCATTCCTGCCACACTTGCTATGGTTTCGAGGAAGAGGCATCGGTTGAGCCAGTCTTGCACTGTCATAGCACTCGGTCCGCGGTATCCGGCGGGAATGTCTAAGCCAGCACGACGCGTCTTAATTCCACGCGGAGTGACATGATTGTCGATCTTCTTGGGTTTGTGGTAAGTTTGTGAAGCCTTCTCTACTGCGTCGGGACTGTGAGGCATGGGGTTCTTCCTCACGAGATCGTCCTTCGTGTTGACATGGGCAGCGCCAGCAATGGATAAAGAATTATATCTCTTTAAAGTCTTGACGAAGTGCTTTAAAGACGCTGGTTCTGCAGTCATCTCTTTGATCTGTGGCAGCGGAGCAGCCGTCCACTTAATATCTCCGAGCACCACCCTTAGTGGTGGCGAAGGCGAAAGTTCATCGGTAGATACGGCTGGAGTGGTGGCAAATACTCGCCACACAACATGACTCGGAACGATAGGAAGGCCGTGTGGTTTTACGAAGTAGACGGACTTGTCCATGCGGGCCTGTAACACTCCTGAGAGTTGGTGAGGCGCGAAGCCAAAGTGGGGACGGCATGATTGCAGAATATGACGTCCAGACATCATCTTGGAAGAGAAGAAGCTCTTAGACTGCGCTTTTGCAAATGCGGGTAACAAACTTGAGCTAGGACACCACCAAATAACGAGGACGAGCGCTTTAGAATAGCACTCAAGGCGTTCTAAAGCTGTATTATCGGTCTACGACGTTGAAGTGATCATGCGATTTGACAGGTTCTCCAGTTCACGCACACCAGTCAGGCACTCAACCAACCAGCGGAACGCCAACTGACCATTCGCGAATCTACCGTTTCAAGCGGAAGCCCAAGAAGAAGAACAAGCTACAAGCTGCCATGTGCATTAAGGTTGAGTGCCCCACCTGCCACAAGGCCACGTGGAAGGGCTGCGGCCAGCACATCGACGCCGCGCTCGTCGGCGTCAAAGAGGAGGAGCGCTGCCCCAACTGGAAGACCGGCAAGCACGAAAGCACCTGAGCAACAGTCGGACCAGAGTCAACGCGCTTACACGACACCTTCTAGCAGTTAGGGATAGGAACGAAGACGTCGAGATCCCGTTGACCCAACGTCACCACAATTACCATTTTATCAAATGAGAAAACATTTATCAAACTCCGACATTTTTTTTTTTAGATGTATCGTCGAAAACTACTTTGCATAACTATTCCTTATGCCACAATGTACAGGAAGGATATGCATGCTCAAGTCGATTTCATTTTGAATCCGGGGGTGATAATGGATCGCTATTGGGTACACAGCGCTACGATCCTCCTCCTTCAGACTGCATTACACGACTGGTTTCTCTCTCTCTCTCTCTGGATCGTAACCAGCTTCGCGTGTGCACAGCTCTTGCTGCACTCACTACATACCTACTTGTTCTATCTACAATGTTTCATCCAGTCGCCGTCTACATTTTGTACACAATAGGCGACGTCTGCAATCCTTGAGTCTCTGCAGGCTCACGCAGCGACGCTGGATGCTTCGTTGGCGTAGTAGACACAGTTGCAACGGAGAACGTCGACGACTCTGACTCGACGGGCAAAGCCGCCTCCATTTCTCTACTGTAGTTTCTTAGAATCCTGGACGCTCGCTTCGATCTGGGTTTGCCCATGTCCACACTGCACTTGAGTTTCATCACAGGCGACGGTGTGCACATGTTGAACGTGGGCGTGCGTCCACTGCCAGATGCAGCACCGAGTCTCCTCCTGGCTCCATTGCTGCGTGTAGACAAGAATTTGTGCTCCTTGGAGGCCATTTTGACACTTGATCCAGATCTGATCTTCTTGCTTGGTGTCCTCAATGACTGTGACGCCTGATCCAGATCTGACCCTTGCAATTTTCTGATTCTCTTGCAAAAGGCCTCCTCATCTCTCTCTTCTGGGTCAAAGTAGACCCCAACGACGCCGCTGTCATTAGCGACGCGAATGTTGACCGCATCGTCGTCCACCAGGACCGTGTCCCGGTTACGGATGACGCTCTGACCGCCTGATCGTCTCTGCACCTCGAGAGCAGCTGAGATCATGAACGGGAGCTTGAATTTGCGGTCTAAATGGCGGCCGTCGGTCTGCCAGAGCGGCAGGAAGGTCCCGGTCTGGTCGTGGGTCAGGGTCCACGTCCGGTCATCACCGCGGATCACGAGTTGGGCTGTGATTTCTGGAGTGAAGCATAACTGTAATACATCTCGAATAAGTTGCACTTGTGGACTGAATGTGACGATGGCCACATTCACACCGGACTCGCAGAGTAGCGGCACCAGCAGCTCGAAGAAGCGTCGCACATGGCTACGCAACGCGGCTGCGGTGTCAGACCACAACCCACCTGTGTGCACCGTGACGAACGTGGCGTCGAAGTCGATGCAAACCAACTTGGCGCCGACGGACTTGAGCCCCGCGGCGGCCTCCAAGGCCTGGGCCTCCTCCTGGTCGACGCTCGGGCGCCGCGACGCCATGCAGCACTTTATACACTGGGTTGTTACAAAATATAATTTTGAATTATAGAGGGAAACGATAGGATTGGTGGAAAATAATTCAACCAATCGTATGACACATAAGTGTAGTCATATGTACATGGCTACCTGAACTTCAACTATCGTCGACCCGTGTGGAATTTGTACAGAATGACAGCGAACGCCGCCTCGAAGGCCACAGCATTGGCAGCTAGCACTGCCAGATCTCGACCAATATGGACATCATCCGGCACGAACTTGGCCAGCACAGCTTGACTCTGGAGCGATAAATCATCGCGGAATTGGTTAAACAGCAGCGCCTGGAAGCTGTAGGATAGAAACCCCAACGAATGTGCCCATCGCCAGTAGTTTGGCATTGCAGGACCAGGTACAAACAGCCCCATAACCAAGATGAACCATCCGAAAATGGCTGCTCCCAACGCCATCCCGACGATAAACTGCGGCACAAGAGCTGAAATGAGATGCATGAGGTTCTCAGCCACGACGAGCGATAGAAACACCACAACCAGGAACACACCGTAGGAATTTAACCCCGCCAAACAGCCGACGAGTAGCGTTGAACTTAATGCAATGAGGAAAATACCCGGCAATGCACCCAAGAAATTGGCGGCCACGTAGCTGAAGACGTTCAATCCGCTGTTGTTTCGTTCTCGAAGGAAAACTGCGCGTTGCTCGATGAAAAATGGCAACACGGCGATAGAGAGGAAGACAAGGTAGATGTTAACGTACGTCAGTAGTAATGCGATGTCAGAGGCGACGATCTTGGGATTGGACGATAAGTACATCGTGCCCACCATGGTGGATAACACTGTGTACGTCACGAGTCGGACCCAATAGATGCCTGGATTTCGCACATTATTTAGCAAATTTCGATGCAGCAGGACGGAAAATTGTTGCATGGGTGACGACTGTGTACCTATCTTTGATCTTGTAGCATGGACACCCACTGCGTCCGAGCGAATAGCACTGAGAATGCGAACTGCTACAGCACTAGAAGTGTATCCATTAATGAGTTGGTCGATATCTCCATGTCCTTCGAAGTCAGTATTGGCGAGATCAATGAAATATTCCACCGGGTCTTGGTACGGCGGACAATTGTAGCCAAGAGAGGAGAAATGACCTAGGATTTTCGTGCGTGGACCGAAGTAAACAGTCTGACCCGCTGTTAGGATCACTACGTTTGCGAACATCTCGTAGACTAACGAAGATGGCTGATGTATCGTACAGATGACTGTCCTGCCTTCTTTACTTAGTCGAGAAATGAGCTTCACCACGTTGTATGTCGACGCAGAGTCGAGTCCTGACGTTGGTTCATCCAGCAGTAAAATGGACGGATCCGACAGCATTTCAATCGCGATACTAAGTCGTCGCTTCTGCCCTCCTGAAATTCCTTTGTGGAACATATCCCCGATCATAGTATTCTCACATACACGTAACCCCATATCGTCAATTACACTCTGGACTCGCTGGACGATAGTAATCGCAGTTGTGCCGCTAGGCATCGTCAATCTTGCAGCCATCAGCAGCGTTTCTAAAACTGTGAAAGAACCTAATAGAGAATCCTCCTGTGCGACGTAGCTCGACACATCTCGGAATATTTTTGCATCACGTTTCTCTCCATTGAGTGCGATATCGCCCTTGATGGTTCCTGAGCAAATACGGTCTGCTAAAATGTCGAGAAGTGTGGTTTTACCGGATCCAGAAGGTCCCATGATTGCTGTGAGTTCTCCAGGTGCACAGCGTCCAGTAACATTGTTGAGGATGGTTTTCTTCCCGTCTGGATTCTTCTCAGACTTCTTAGTGTTAACAGTGTACGAGAGATTGCTCCACCTCAACGTACACGGATTTAGGTTAGTTACACGAGGTTTACCAGCTTGCCGATCGCTTGATTCGACAGAGCAATGACCATCGGATCGAGTGGAGACGGGGTCTTGTTCATACTCAGAAATTGGTGACACCCGCACAGGCGACAAATGCATTAGTCTATCGTCGTGCTAACAGGATAATAAAAGAGACCGTGGTGGATGGGGAGTCCTACGAAAATCATTGCCGTTTTTGACCATGCTATCTATGGTGGCGAGTAGAGATAACGGTGTTCGTGGGGGAATGTGCTATAGCTATCAAAACCAAGGTAGACGGATCATGGTCGTGTGCTGTTAAGCCATGCGAACTTGAACGTGTAGTCCGATGCTGCAATAAAAACAAAAAAAAATATGGTCAGAGAGTCATTAAGTCAACATGGGAAAGCAACACTCACCGAAGTGTTGCAGTGTCGCCTGAACATTGTAGAATACCCAGAAAATTAGTTTTGTCTGCACCTGTTCACACTGTTTTTCTAGAACAAAGGCCAGTTGCCGAAGTCCTGAGATTCGCAGTCGTCGCCACAAAACCAGAAAGAGAATAATAAGAGAAAGGAGCTGGAGGAGACAATACAACATCACGTTCTCGACCGTCTTGCGAAGTTTTCCGTCATCCATACTGACGATTTGAGAGTAGTATACGCGGTTCGGGAGGTGGTACATCACCAATAGGTTTGCCGCTTGACATGCAGACAAATTAGTATACATTAGAGGGAAAAACAAATCTAGTAAAATAACTTACAAAAAATAATAGGGACGATGACCTCGACGTAGTTGATCAATATCACAAACTCCGTAATATACAGCACTTTTCGAACATTCAGCGCGTAATTTAACTCCAAAGATGTGACGTCTGCCTTTGCGGATGAAAACACCTTACGAGCACCAAATTTTGGCTTTGATCGGACTAAAACAATAGCTGATTGCGATTGCTTTTTCGGCTCAGCCTTCGCACAAAAAGGCACAACTCCCGTGGACGAAGGCCCAATAAGGATAAGAGCTACCTCGACGGCAGAGGCTTGGCCAAGTTGGTGTCGAGTTATAATGTCCATTGTATATCCAAGAATTGTCGCTCTTTGGATCCGTCTTAGCTGCACAGCTGTTGCGTCTTCGCCAGACTCTCGAGCGCGCTCTGCTGCCACCCGGTTCCGTACAATCTCCATTCGTTTAATAATTTTCCCAACGTCATGCATCGAGGCAATCATTTGTGCGCCGTCAATCGCTATTAAACCAAGTGTTGTCCATATCGAAGGCGTGTTCTGCATGCAATACGACATGAAGAGTGAGTTAAATACTTCGACATTCATCAGCACAACCTCCGGGATCTCGTCGTTCAGATGCACTACTGTTCGTGACATAATGTTACGTAAAATTATCTTGATGAGAGGGAGTAGAAAGGCGAAATACGTTTTGCCTGTTGCTGGGAGGGTCGTGAAAATGTAGAAATACGTTGGATAAATGACCACGAGGCTTTCTTGACATACCCAAACTTTGAGAGAATTTACGACAAGAGGCCACAATTCTGGATCCGATCGAGCTCGTTTGAGGAATGATGCGAGTGGTATTAACAGGAACGCAACCCACGCTGGGGAGACGGTAATTATGCCAAATGGGAGTGGAAACCCAATGGCACAAGATAATCCGTACAATACTCCTGTCGTCTGTGTAGCTGTGATGAAACTGGTAGCGAGAACCCGCAGGCTTGATAGTGAAGCGGCTGGAATACTATGTCTGAATTGTAGATATACTACAATACTGGCCAGCAGAAAGGAGAGAAATACCCGAAGAACGAAGAGAGAGTTGGCATTGAGTCCCTCCGACGGCGATCGTAACGGGATTAGGTCGACGAGAATTGTGATGATCACACACGGCCACGGCATGATCACGAGCACGAAGATCGCTCGAAGTGTGCTCGTGTGTTGATTGTATTTTATAAATTCACGGACGCGCTCAGCCGAGTAAAACCCATGAAGTTCCACTTGAGCATTCTCCCAAATGTCGGTGAGTTTCCAAATCCATGAAGAGATTCCCATGGAGAATGGACGAACTGGAGTGACAAGCCATAATACGATCGCTGTAAGATTACCATCTATTTTGAGAAATATAGTATGGAGCGAGCGATAAAAAAAAAGGTTTGAGAAGCATAAACTAAAAGGTTATGGCACATGTCCGAGTCTTGTTCATGTTGCTGAGTTGTGCAGCCAAGCAAACATAAAGGTATAATCTGATGCTGTAAAACAGCAGTTAGAGTTAGATTTACAGTGTTTGGAGAGTACGAAAAAAAAAAATATTAACTCACCAAAGTGCTGCAGCGTCGCCTGTACATTGTAGAAGACCCAGAACACAAGCTTCGTCTGTACTTGCTCGCCCTGCTTCTCCAAAACAAACGCCAACTGCTTCAGAGCTGAAATGTGGAGCTTGTGCCATAACATCATGAACAGGATAACTAGGGATACTAGCTGCAAGAAGCAATACAGCATCACGTTTCCAACAGTACTCCAGAGCTTGGTATCATCCATACTGTCGATTTGGGAGTAGTAAACGCGGTTGGGAAGGTGGTACATCACCAACAAATTCGCCGCTACAAGCAATGTCAATTACCTGAGAATAAAAAACACACATACAATATCAAACTTACAGAAAATAACGGGTACGATAACTTCCACGTAGTTGATCAAGAGCATGAACTCGGTGATGTAGAGCACCTTTTGAACGTGTTGTGCGTATTCAAGCTCAAGTTGCGTTATATCTTCTGTACATTGTGCATCATTCACTGAGAAAACTTTGCGTAAACTGACACCTTTCGATAAACGGCTTGGTGAGTAGACAATCTGCTTAGGTACCCCCTTAAAACTCGTTGCTTTGGGTTTTAGTTCGAGATTCTCAACACTGGACAAAGGGAAGTCAGTAGATCCAACTGATACTTTAGCCAATTTGTACCGATCCAGAATGTTTTGCGTGTATAAAAGGATCGTCTTCCTGTGGAGAATTTTTATCTGGGTCGTTGTTGCATTAGACAACAGTTGTCGTCCACGCTCTGTATTAACTCGCTCCTTCAAAATTCGCAGTCTTTGGATCACAACTACCACGTCATGCATCGACGCGGCCATCTGAGCACCATCAATCGCTATTAAACCAAGTGTTGTCCATATCGAAGGCGTGTTCTGCATGCAATACGACATGAAGAGTGAATTAAACACTTCGACGTTCATTAGAACAACTTCGGGGATCTCGTCGTTCAGATGCACCACAGTCCGTGACATTACATTTCGCAGAAATATTTTAATCACTGGAAGAAGAAACGCAAACGGAGTCTTCGCATCGGCTGGAAGCGTTGTAAAAATGTAGAAATATGTCGGGTAGATCACTACGAGGCTTTCTTGACGAATCCAAACTTTTAAAGTGTTGACCACAAGAGGCCACACCTCTGGATCCGAACGAGCTTTCTTCATGAATGACAGTAAAGGAATTAGCATAAATAAAACCCACATCGGTGAGACAGTGATAATTCCAAAAGGTAGCGGGAAGCCAATGTTCATTGATAGTGCGTACACGACGCCCGTTGTAAGCACTGCTGTGAGTGCTCCAGATACGATGATGCGTGTATTTGAGAGTGGAGCGGGTGGAACGCTGTGCCTGAACTGAAGATTGATGACGATAGTTGCGACCCAAAATGCCAGAAACACTCGTACAATGAAGAGATAATTAGCTTCAAGACCCTCGGATGGCGGGCGCAATGGGATCAAGTCAACGAGAATCGTTACCACGACACATGGCCATGGAACAAGCGCCAATACGGCGAGGGCTCGAAAGATGCTGGCTTGTTCATTGTAGGCGATCAGTTCTCGAACACGCTCGACGGAATAAAAACCATGAAGCTCCACTTGTGTGCTTTCCCAATACTCGGCGAGTTTCTGCACCAAAAGCGCCAACCGCATCCGTCCGTGAAGAAGGAGAACAGGAAGGTAGAAGCTTATGAGACTGAAATTATGATGGAGGAACTATATTTTTGACGCGCTAAGAATAACTGCTTCGAAATACTAATTTGGTCGTACTTGGCATAGTTGACGTTATCAATTATTACTAGGGCTGAGGCGGAGGCTGGGATAGCTTCGGGTCACGGAAGCGTTATTGGCAAGAACCTTGAAAGCTCTCCTCAAACCGCCTAGGGGCTTGGGTTAAATCACGAAAAGGATAAGCAGATTTCGGAATATCAAGCAAGGTCTAAAGTAAAAATATTTGTTGCTTAACTCCTTTCCTCTGTTTTACTAAAGGAGCCCACGCGGATGGAAAAGTTTCTAGGACGTTTTCAACTGCGCGTTGTGTTCGCACATTTTCTGGATAAGCAGCAGAATAAGCTCCAGGGAGATGATGATGTCTGTAACGAGCGCCGGGTATAGTCAGCGTTTGCCAGGCTGCCCGCGGTTCAAGCGGCTCTAGCGCTCTTCACGCGCCAGTTCTTCTATTGCAGCACGCACACGCATGTTTTCAACTGAGCAATAGCGCGGGCCTTAGTCCTGCTGCGCACTAAGAAGCTATTGAAATTTCGAGGGTGTCAAGTTAACCAAAACTGTAAAACTGCCAAAATATTGCAGGGAGTTGAAGAATTGTTGTTGAACAGCCCTCAGGGCTGTACCACCACCATTCTTCAGGGCTGCCCTAGTACAAAAATGAAGGGGTAGGATAGACGTGACGTTTTTGATTACTAATTTCAAGACAAAAGTCGAAGAATAACGAATTAAAGCACTTCGTACTATTCATGTATTACGTGATTCAACAATGAAATAAAACCTCGTTTTGACGAAGAACTGTATAAAAAAAGGTTGCGTATTTAATCTATCACCGACGGCCTGTGTGGAACTTGTACAAGACGAAAGCGAAGAGGATCTCGAAGGCCACAGCATTTGCAGCTACGATAGCCAGATCACGACCCAAATCAGCATCTTCCATGCCGAATCTTGTCAAAATAAACAGGGCTTCGGGCGAGTCGTCGTTGTGGAACTGGTTGTGCATGAGTGCCTCAAATCCATACGATAGGAAGCCTAGATAATGGCCCCAGATCCAGTAGTCCGGGATAGCAGGTCGTGGCACGAACAACCCCATACACAGGATGAACCATCCGAAAAGTGCAGCGCCGATCGCCATTCCGATGATAAAGTGCGACACACACGCCGCTACGAGGTGCATCAAGCTCTCAGCCACCACAAGTGACAAGAACACGATCAGTAGGAAAATTCCGTACGAATTGAGACCCGCGAGGTATCCGACAAGCAACGTTGAGCTCAGGGCGATCAAGAAAATGCCTGGTAAAGCTCCCAAGAAGTTGGCGATCACGTAGCTGAATACGTTGAGATTGCTGTTGGCTCTTTCACGAAGAAAAACTGCGCGTTGCTCAATGAAGAACGGCAGCACAGCGATGGACATGAATACGAGGAAGCAGTTGGCGTAAGTGAGTAGATACACCACGTCGTGAGCCACGATCAGCTTGTTGGTCGAGAGGAACATCGTCCCCATCATGAACGACAGAACTGTGTACATGACGAGTCGAACCCAAAAGATGCCTGGGTTGCGCAGATTGTCAATTAAATTTCGCTTTAGTAGCACAACAAGCTGTCGTAGTGGCGAGTTTGGAGCGACTTCAATCATTTTAGCGTCATGTACGTTCGCCGAGTCTGCGGTAATTGCATCTTGGATCTTACTAGCTATCGAGCTCGCAGCATATCCAGCAACCAGGGCCGGAATGTCCCCGTGTCCAACGAAATCTGTATTGGCGATGCTAATATAGTGTTCAGCTGGATCCTCGTGCTCGGGGCAGGTGTAGCCTAGCGACGCGAAATGAGGCAACATGTCGAGTCTTGGACCAAAGTAAACTGTCTCACCTGCAGAGAGGATCACTACATTAGTGAACATGTCGTACACTAACGATGAGGGCTGGTGAATGGTGCAGATCACGGTCAGATTCTCTTTACAGAGTCGAGATACGAACTTCATGACGTTGTAGGTGGACGCTGAATCCAGTCCCGACGTAGGCTCATCCAGTAGCAGGATGGAAGGCTCAGATAGCAACTCGATGGCGATACTCAGTCTTCGCTTCTGGCCGCCTGAAATGCCCTTCCGGAAGACATCTCCGACCAACGTGTGCTCACATTTACGTAGACCCATCTCGTCAATTACAGTTTGTACGCGTTCTACGATCTCGTGGTGAGTGATGGAGCCTGGTAGACTCAGTTTTGCGGCCATCTCGAGTGTTTCACGTACTGTGAATGAGCCTAACAACGAGTCCTCTTGAGCTACGTAGCTGGAAACAGCGCGGAAGGTCTTGTGGTTTCGTTTCTCGCCATTAAGGAAGATGTCACCAGAGATCGTTCCTGAGCTGATACGGTCCGCCAAGATGTCGAGTAGCGTCGTTTTTCCTGACCCAGAAGGTCCCATTACGGCAGTCAACTCTCCAGGTGCACAACGTCCAGTGACGTTGGTAAGAATGGTCTTCTTTCCGCTCGTCTTGGTGCTGACAGTGTACGAGAGACTGCTCCAGCTCAAAGTGCACGGATTGGGAGTCGTCCGAAGTGGTTTGCCTGCGAAACTGGTGCTGCTCTTGATAGGACCTTGATCTGTGCATGGAGTGATAATGGGGAGTTCAACTTGTACGGTAATGCTTGTGGGCACTACTCCTTCAGCGTCTTCGTCCATTATACCAAGAGTCTTCGACTGCTGCTCACCTCGATACTTAAGCTATGGTGCTCGAACTAAGGACAGTCATGGAGTTCCCATTGCAGTTGCAAATAGTTGAGATTCTCCATTGAGATTCTCCAGCCTATTCATGCTTCATCTCCGCCAGAAACGCCCCACGCGATGAACCACAAGGTGACAATATCGCATGCATAAGATGCAATTGCGACGTAAGCTTGTGGCAGTAGAAATTCAAACAAATCTTTTAGTACTTGGGTATTTCTCCATCTTTTTGTTTTGTAGGTTTTAGTTTGAATATGAAAGTATAGACTTGGTTTATCTTCGACCGGTGTGGAACTTGTACAGGATGAAGGTGAAAATGAGTTCCAGACCGACGGCGTAGCATGCGAGGATGATCATATTGTGTGCCGTATTGACGTCTTCTAAGTTCAAGCGAACGAGAATTGCCTTAGCCGTCGGAGAGTCGACGTGGATGAAATGCTCGTACACGAACGACTGGAACGAGTACGTGTGGAAGGCCAGGTAATACGCCCAGATCCAATAGTCCGGGATGGTCTCCTTGGGTACCATGAAGCCCTCGCACAACATGAACATGCCGTACACACCAGCTCCCAACGCAATACCGATGATATAGTGAGGAACAGCAGCTCCAATGACGTGCATCAACGATTCAGCCACTACAAGCGACAGGAACAAGTTGAGCAGGAACCACCAGAAGCCGTTAAGACCCGATAGTAACACAACCAAAAGCGTCGATACTAGAGCAATCAAGAAGATGCCCGGGAGACTGGCGATGAAGTTGGACAGAGCGAAGCTGAAGACGTTGAGACTGCTATTGGCTCGTTCTCTTAAGAACACAGCTCGTTGATCAATGAAGAAGGGTAAGACAGCCACCGACATGAAGACCAAGAACGCCTGCACGTAGAAGAGCAGAGGCACCATGTCTTCGTCCGAAATGTCGTCGTTGGTGAAGAGGTACATGGTGCCGATCATGAAGGATAGTATAGTGTACATGGCGAGTCGAACCCAGTAGATCCCTGGGTTACGAACGTTGTTCAGCGAGTTACGCTGTATGAGCACGACGAACTGTCGAAGAGCCGATGGTTTGACTGGAGTAACTGAAACACTGTGCACATTGGCCGCATCGGATTCGATTGCTTTCGTGACGTTGGATGCCATGGAACTAGACGAGTAACTCTCGATGAGCTTCTTGATATCTGCGTGTCCCTCGAAGTCGGAATTCACTAGACTGATGAAGTATTCGGCCGGGTTCATGTACATTGGGCACGAATATCCGGACGCCGAGAAATGGTCGAGAATGTGTTGACGAGGGCCAAAATACACGGTCTCACCCGCCGTGAGGATCACCACGTTCGAGAACATTTCATACACGAGAGACGAAGGCTGGTGGATCGTGCAAATCACTGTCTTTTTCTCTTGACACAACTTTGATACGAACTGCATGACGTTATGCGTCGACGCTGAGTCCAGACCTGAAGTCGGTTCATCTAGCAACAAGATCGACGGCTCTGATAGCAACTCGATTGCGATACTTAGTCGCCGTTTCTGGCCCCCTGAAATGCCCTTCCTGAATATATCACCGACCAAAGTGTGTTCACAAACGCGCAGACCCATAGCGTCAATGACAGCCTGTACCCGTTCCACAATAGCTTGGTGCGTGATGGAGGTGGGAAGACTGAGTCGAGCCGCCATCTCCAGCGTCTCCAGAACGGTAAACGAGCCCAATAGAGAGTCCTCTTGAGCCACGTAGCTCGTCACTGCCCGGAATGTTTTAATATTGCGGGTCTCACCATTAAGCGAGATATTACCCTGGAGTGTTCCTGAGCTGATCCTGTCGGCCAAAATGTCGAGCAACGTGGTCTTGCCACACCCGGAGGGTCCCATGACGGCGGTGAGTTCACCTGGTGCACAGCGTCCGGAGACGTTGCTGAGAATTGTCTTCTTCCCGTTAGGACACTGAGTAGTTTTCTTAACATCGACAATGTAGGCCAGATTTTTCCAGCTGAGGGTGCACGGGTTCTTGGACATGTTGGAAATGTCAACAGGAAGAGCGACTTCATCCGGTTTGGCCTTGCCAGGTGTCAACGTCTCATAGGATGTGGCAGTGCTAGGCGACGCTGGGTTGGTATCCGCCATCGTCATCGTGTAATAGCCCCAAACAATACGAAAGCTGATTAGGGAGACTTGAGCACTTAAAAGCACAATTGGATAGTGTGATCTAAAAGCACTGAGAGCGAGTCTAAACGGCTACGATTTTTTTTCATGGCCGTTAGGCTGAATTCATGCGTTACTATAGAGATGGGAACGAGGACATCAGACATACCAATCTCATTTTCATCGCATAATACGCAAGTGAACTCGGTCCGGTTCATTGCAAAAGAAGTGTGTTTTTCCTACTCGTTTGCACTAACAATCTAACTAGGTGCGAAGTGCAGGTTTCATGAGATGAATCTTCTTCGTTGCTGCTTTCACTGCCGTCCACGCTTCAGTCTTTTTCACCGTGGTGGTTGCTCACGAATGGGCTGATGCCCTTATCTTGATCCAGGTCAGCAAACTTGTGGTTCACATCTCTGTGATTGCATTCGTCAGCACGAATGCACTTGACCATGTCGTAAAGATTACTGCCTTGGGGTAGTTTATAATACGTTTGAGCAATGAATGGTGCCTGCTTCTGCTTCCACTCGTCCAGATGTCCATCCTCGATATCTTGCAACAGATACGTGTACGTCTTCACCGCTTCTTCCTCCAAGTACCCCACAAAGCGATGGCAAGTCTTTGGTGACACCAGGTACGTGAGGAAGAAACCGTTGAAGAACACGCCTTGAGCTCCGATCACAAGTGTTCGTAAGAACCAACCCGGTTGTTTCAGGTTCATGAAGATAAGTAGATGCATTCGCTCGTTCTCAGCTTCTTCCAATAGAGTGTGGATCCATCCATAGTCTCTCTTCATACGACGCAGGGAACGTAGGTGACGTAACATACCTCCCACCATTCCTGGAACACCAGCAATGGACTCCAAGAAGAGGCAACGGTTAAGCCAATCCTTCTCCGTCATTTCGCCTCCTGGCCCACGATACCCAGACACCTTATCAAAGCCCACACGGAGCATCTTGATGGCGAAATAAGCGGCACGCTCGTTCATCGTGACTACAGGGTGGTGCGTCTGTTCCATCGCAGTGATCTTTTCCAGATCGTACACGGTATGTCTTATCGGGTTATCCCACACAGGATCACCGCTTGCAGTGGTAGGATGAAGAGGGTGGACGTCC